TGTCACTTTTCATTGGTACATCTTCACTAAATTTGTATTTACACATGTTATTAATACTTATTTTAACATACTTTCTTCAAAAAAATTCAAAAAACTTATAAAAGAACGATTATGACAATTGTCACATTAAAATATTATCCTTAAAAAGATCATATAAAATAACATCAAAAAAGTTTCATAAAATCCACCTCATTTAATAATAAATAGATAATTTTAAAAAAATGATAAAAGATTTCACCTAAAAGATTGTGTATTTATCTAATAAAATTTACAATATAATTCCTCAATAAAAGATGTATTTACAAAGAAGATTGTGAAAATCACTAATAAATTATATTTAAAGAATATTACATTTTTACAATATAGCAGCATATTATTTTTTTTATTAAAAAAACATCAAATAAATAAATTTATTTTCATTTCAAAATATAATAATATAAATAAAAAATATTAAATCCTATCATGTTTATTTGTTGATAATAATAAAATATTTACATTAAATATAAATAAAATAAATTATTTTACTAAAATAAATAAATAATAATTAATGCTAAGCATCGATGCAGAATTTTGAATAATTTATTTTAGCCAATTTTTAGGCTTAGCCCATTTTTAGGCTTAGCCAATTTTTAGGCTTAGCCGATTTTTAGGCTTAGCCAATTTTTAGGCTTAGCCGATTTTTAGGCTTAGCCTAATTAGGTTTAGCCGATTTTTAGGCTTAGCCTAATTAGGTTTAGCCGATTTTTAGGCTTAGCCTAATTAGGTTTAGCCGATTTTTAGGCTTAGCCTAATTAGGCTTAGCCGATTTTTAGGCTATACCTAATTAGGCTTAGCCGATTTTTCCACCTAAAATCTCGGCTAAGCCGTTTTTAGTCGGCTAAAATTAGCCGATTACGCAACACTAGTCACCAGTGATGGCGCGAATTTTTTTTTTACCAAGGGATTTGAAGAAGGTTAGGGCATGATTGCCAAAAAAACCGGTTGTGTCGGATACAATTGGTATGAGATTGCAATTGGTTAGGGAAATGCATTTATTAATTTTAGAGATTTCAGTTCTAACGCCGGGGTGGCCTAATTGGTTATGATGTATGCTTGGAAACAGAAGGACATAGAGGACGCAGATTCAATTCTGGTAAAGAGCATAAAAATTTTCAGGTTTTTCTTCGATGACTGATGTGTGTAAAGACATATGATAAGATGAATTTCGGAGCTTAGAGATGACACCCCGGTGTCACCGACAGGCCTGGACAGCCGGGTGCAAACGGGTTGCAAGGAAGAAGAGAAAGATGACTTTAGAGAGGTCTGCATTGGGCGGGTTTTTGGACCAAAAGCCCGCCCATCCAATGTTTAAAAAAAATTTAATCCGCCCGCCCAGCCCGCCCATAGTTTTCAAAAAAATTTAACCCGCCCGCCCAGCCCGCCTATAGTTTTCAAAAAAAATATATAGCCGCCCATTTGTCTAAAATTCCTTACCCGCCCGTCCATTAGTCTAAAATTCCTTACCCGCCCGTCCATTAGTCTAAAATTCCTTACCCTCCCGTCCATTAGTCTAAAATTTTTTACCTGCCCTCCCATTATTTATAAAAATTTTTTAACCCAAGCCCGCTTATAAAACTTAATTATGGTCATTCTTTCATTTTTTTAAGCATCTAATAAATTTTTTTATCATTTCTCCAATTAGGAAATAATATTTCCTTAAGATCCTCAGTAACTTTGGATATGTGCCTGCTAACGGTTATGGGGCAAGGAATAATTTTTTCGGCTTCCAATTTTCCATATATGGCCCCTAAGTCTAAAAATTTTTGTAAAATATTTACAAATCCTGGTCCTTGAAAAGCTTGAAATGGCCTAAATAAAGATAAAAGAATAATTTAATAAAAATTAAAATACCTAATATCTCTAGCGCAATATTCTACAAAATTGGCGATTAGACCCGATTTTATCGTTTTGTTTAATTGAGAATTGTCTTTTTGAAAATATCTGGATATTTTTTTATTATCTATCAAATCTTCACAATTTGCAGATGAACATTGATGACGAAGGAAGAAGGATGTGCTACTTTTGTTATTATATTTATAGATAGATTCGCAATCATTGCAGCGAATCCAATCTAGCTTTTTGTCATTTTCATCGAAAATGATTTTAAATTGTTTCCACATTAAAGATTTTTGTTTATTATTATCTGAATTTTCTTTTAATTTATATAAATTATTTTTTATTTTTTTAGATATATTTTCTTTATTCATAATAAAATTTTAAAATAAAAATTAAATTAAAATATATTTTTTTAATAAAAATTATGTTATAAATTTTTTTTTATATATTTTATAATAAAATAAAAATGAAAAGGGCAATTATAAAGATAAACAATTATTACTAAAATGAAATAATACAATGCAGATTGCAAACCCAAAAAAAGGAAGTTTTAAGAGAAAAGTTTTATTACATTCCCATAAAAGGAAATTTTTAATAGACAAAAATGTTTATTTATTTCTAAGAAAAAAGTTTTATTGTTGTGTTTATCACATAATATAGTTAGGTAAATGTTCACCACTTAAAAAAACGATTGGTACAATAAAAAAAGAAATATTGTTATAGTTCATTTAAACAATTATTATTTTTAGTTTATTTTAAATTTCCTTAACCCGCCCGCCCATTGTTCAAATTTCTTAACCCGCCCGCCCAGCCCTCCCATAGTTTCAAATTTTTTTTAACCCGCCCGCCTGCCCATTTTCGAAATTTTTTTTAACGCCCATCCGCCAGCCCAATGCAGACTTCTACTTTAGAGCTATCCTTGATGAAGCTGTAATGGAAATCCCGAAGGATGACCTAGTCATAATAGATGGTGACTTAAATGCACATGTGGGAAAATTAATAGATAGCTACAAAAGGCATCATGGTGGTTTTGGATATGGAGAAAGAAATGATGAAGGAAAGCATATATTGAAATTTACGCAAGCCTTCGACCTTGCCTTAACCAACACCTACTATAGGGAAAAAGGCAGTCATTTAACCACATATGAAAGTGGTATAAGGAAAACAAAGATAAATTACATGCTAATCTCTCGTAGAAGATTAAAAGATGTAATAGACTGCAAAGTCATCCCAGGAGAAGATATAGCCGCGCAACATAAACTACTAGTCATGGATTTACACATTACAAATAAATCCACTCAAAACAAGATAAAACTGAAACCATGCATCAAATGGGGTAAATTAAAAACAATGACAGAAGCCTTTGCAATCAATGCAAACATTGAAACAATAGATTCCTTACAAGTCAGTGAAAAAATGTGGACAGATCGTTCATCCAGATCAATAGACACTGCCAAATCGACACTAGGCTTGACAAGGGGAGGTAACAAATCAAAGAACTATGGTGGTGGAATGAAGAGGTACAAACCACTATACAGGAGAAAAAAGCCCTTTATAAAGTATGGTACAAATCCAAAAACCCAGATGACAAGACAATATACAAAAAATCCAATAGAATAGCTACAAAGGAGGTGGCTAGGGCCAAATCTATGGCATACGATGACATGTATGAAGAACTACATACCAAAGAAGGGCAAAATAAAATATACAGATTAGCCAAACAGCCAGAAAAAAATTCTAGGGATATAAACGGAGCTCCGAAAATAATCAAGAATAAAGATGGGAAATTGATAATAAAGGAAAAAGAAATAATGAATAGATGGAAAGAATATTTTAAGGAGCTTCTCAACTTTAATCCCCACTTACTACATTTAGATCACTCCCCATGTCAAAACCTTATACAACCAATAACAGAACAAGATAGGGCGTGGGGGTCGGTGGGGTTATTGTTAAGTGATAGAATAATTAAACGGTAGCTTGATTCTGAGGCTAAAAAGGCAGCAAGGCTGAGTGTCGCAGTTAATCTTAGGCCAAGACCCCCAAATTTCGAAGGCAAGGAGGCCTGCATCCAAGAATTAGGGCTGAATTTTATATTGAGGATGCCTTCTAAAGAGTCTTTGATTGTTGATTCTATTTGGGTGAGAATTTCCGGGAATAAGAAAAATGGGGCAGTGTGAAAGGCATGTTGGATTTTTGGGATAAAGAAAAAGTTTTTGAGAAGGAAGAAAGCTTGATGGAAAGGAAGGACTTGAAGTATTTTATGTAAAAGCTGAAAATTACGGAGAAATTTTGTTTTGAAATCATAAAAAATTGTCAGAGTAAGTTTTAAAAATTTTAAAGAATTGGATTCTTCAATATAGAATAAAATATAATTGAACACAAAGATTTGATTTAAATCAGCGGCCCTTCTCAACATTAGACAAACATTCTCGTCTTTCGTTTAATATATACTTAACTTACAAAACAAGAAAAACATGTCATAAAGCTCTCTTAAATATAAATTTAAAAATTTTTACTAATGTTTTCACGCAAAGACAATATCTCACTTAGCAAATAAATTTGCAATATCGCTTGGCGTCGTATGTTCTTTAGGTAATTAGCCCATATCTAGCCTTCGCTTAGCCCACATAATAAATAAAAATGAGAAAATAAAAAAAATCCCCACTAGGATTCAAAAATGGTTCAGAAACAACAAGTTCAAAGTTAACTGATTTTAAAAAACGGTGAAATCAAAATTTTAGCCTAAATAATATTATCCAATCCTGTAGATTTTATGACTTATGCAGATAATATGATGAGAAATTGAACATGCGCCTTGAGGAAAGACATTGGCGAATTCTTCAGGCTTGGGTAATATTATTTTGGCTAAAATCTTGATTTATCTGTTAATTAACTAAATCGAGCCGTTTAACAACACTACATTACATTGCTAAGAGGTTTTAGAGTAATAAAAGTTGAGTATTTATATTAAAATATCTCGCTCAAACAATATAAATCATTACTTACTCTTTACGCAAAGTTACATTTTTAAGAGCGCGTTCTTTAACAATAAAATTGTTTTTCACCTTCTATTACAATTTAATTTTCAATATATTTCATTTATTATATCATAATAAATTTAAAAGCACTTTTGAACGATGACCAAGATGATTTTGATGAAAGCAAACAAAAATATCTCGAAGCCGTTTCCCCTTCAGTAATATAATATTTTTTTCTTTATAATGTGGATTAGTAAGTAAATTATAAATGAAGATGGTAAAGACTATGTAAATTATAATAATGGTAATAAAGGCGCTAGTCGAAACTTGAATTAAATATATTTTGCTGTAGATGCTAAATAGCAGAGGTGTTAAAATGTGTATCTTTATCTTGATCGACTTTTATTTAAAGTATCTGAATCTATATACTCTTTTAGAGGTAGCTAATCTATTTTTTGAAACATTTTGATATAATTTTATTTTACGTTTTTTTATATTAAAAATAATAATATTTTAATTAGATTCATTAAATAGTTTATTTCATTACAAAAACAAACCATAAATTTTATTTTCAATGGATGACAACATCATGGTGAATTTTAGTTGATGTATTAGTTTTTATTAAATTTGAGGTACAAGGATCTCTGAGAGTAAAGGAATTAGATTATGAGGATTAGCTTTAATCATGGTGGACGATGGTGGTGGATTTAAAATAAAAAGGCACACAGTAGGTGGCATAAGTCAATTTAATTCTCGATTTTCTTTATTATTTCCTAGAGTAATACACAAACTATATACAAAGTGATCAAACATAATCAGTTAAAAAAATTAATATTACCCAAAAATAAAACAAGTCGACGAAATATGTAAAAGTTATAAAAAAAATTAAGTCCATGAACACAAATAATACCGTAATTATATAAGATTTTCCCCTCAATGTATGTGCTTATATTTTTTTAAGCCAATGAAAACACCAATAACCTGGCGGGATTATTAGGTGTTTATTCGAACAACCAATAAGAAATCTTTTACTCCCCAATTGCCAGGTGGTTATACATATAGCTGTATAACATGCCTTTGTCTTTACAAAACTAAATTGTATAGTTGTTTATGACTTACAAATTTTGTAAATGTTAAAACAATAAGAGGAAAAAACAGAATAATTAAAATATGTTGTAAACACATCACTCCCCGCTAGAATGAACTTCGGGGGGAAGAGAAAGGGGTTCGACCTAGAGTGACAAGGAAATATTTCACCTCGGATTGGTTGAAGCCATAAGATAGGCGCGTAGTTTTTACACCCTTGGGTGTTAGGGAAGAATTAAGAAAATATTGATAGTATTGCTCTTTATTATGATAAAAAAAACAAGTGATAAGTGCATAAGAACCGCATTAGAATAACCTCTAAATATTGGTATTTCAAATAAAATACGCTTAAAATAATATTTATTTTGTTTTTGTTAGTAACTCTTCAAATTTCTTCAATCCATTGAGTCCACGATTTCCGATTGCGATAGGTTGAGTTGGTGGTCCTTTTCGTCGTTGGTTATTACATCTCTTTCCCGTGTAGCCTCGTATTTGGTATTCCCTCCTTTATACTGTATGTTTTCGGTCTTACACATAATCTTGGACAGGGATGCGAACCCGTCAAAATTTTTGCCCGGATTCGATTTAAGGTTAAAAAAAATAGATAGGTTCGGTGCTTGGAAATATTTTCGAATCCGGGTTTGGTTCCAGGTTCAGCTCTAGTTTAAGAATTTTTGAATTGTTTAAAAAAAGATTCTATAAAAACTAGACATAAATTTAGTATAAAATATTAATTTTTTATTTTATTAATAGGTAAAATATAGTTAAAAATACAAAGCATAGTCATGTATCAATTTTAAATTTTATTTAGACGTATTAACATAATATCTTCCAAGAGTTGTTCACTCATACTCGATCTATGTGGTGAAAGAATGAATTTCAAATGTGAAAAAGATCTTTCAACGCTAACCTATATTAAATATATTTATGTGAAAATATGATAAAACTTGGGTTACAGGAACAATAAAATATATAAATCAGGGTGTTTTCCATCTTAGCAGACTCCCAAAAATGCAAAATATTTTCCTTCTTATCTAATCTTTTAAAATCGCTAAATCCGGTATTATAGTTCCAATATTTTTTTCTGCAATTGTTGGTCCTTTTTTAAATATTTTCTCCTCCCTTTCTTTAAGTTGTATCAATTTCTCTCTAGATTATCTTCTTGTTCAATAAATTCATCGGAACTAATATAATCAAATAAAATCGGCGTTGTTATGCTTATAATCCGACTTCATAAATTGACAAGATGCCTTTTATCACAAATCTTATCATCACTAATTAATACCTGTAATATTTAAGGATTTGTATTTAAATAAATGGCAATACCATAAAATAACAATTTTAATATAAATCCAAAATAATTAATTTACTAAGCTCTAATATTAACCTTGTATCTTGGGTCCAAGTATATGGTAGCTAACAAAATTTCATTCTTTATAAAACTTTCTTCCTTGTTCTTAAGACAAGAATATACTGGGATAAATTAGAGCCTGTACTGACTTTTTTGGAATTTATTTATAACAAAATTATAATTTTAGAACTGGATACAGCTGTATTATCTGACTTACCAGAAATATTCTGGGATATAAAAGATAAACTCAATTCATCATCTTATTTTTAATGAAAATGATTTGAAAAGTGTTAAAATGCATATTATAAATGAAAGAAATTTTGTTGCCGAGAATATAATTATTCAACAAATCTTCTGGATCCTAGATATTATGATGTGAAAATAAACCGCTAATTAACAGTGGCTTTAAATTTAATAAATATTATTTCAGGCCAAATTAATTGCGATTTTGGAAAAATTATGGATAATTTTGAAGAATATCGTTCAAAATGTTTCTATAAAGGAGCTGGGAGAGCTCTATCCATATCAAACCATTCATATGGTGGAAAGAGTTGTGTGCAAATCAACCCCTTTGTCAAGTGACAGTAAGATGTCTTTCTACCACCCTCAAGTGCCTCGTCAGAAGGAGTCTGGTCAGCATTTGGAAACATTCATTCAAAAACGAGAAATAGAATAAAGAATGCAATCAGGCATAACATACATTTAAAGGATCACACAAATATCATGTTCGGGATATCATCAAAAGAGTTCAGATTCCTATTTATCAATATCAAATGATAATGATGATATTTCAACAGTGTTGTTAAACGCTACTTTTAAAAGTAGCGCGCTATCGCTATTTTATAAAAAAAATAGCGCGCTACCGCTATCGTTTTCAAATGAATAGCGCGCTATTAGCTACTTTTTACGCTATTTTGATTTATTTTTAAAATATTTTTTACCTTTATTTCCACAAATAAAATATTGGTATAAAAACATGACTATAATTTGTTACATATATATATATATATAATTTATTTATTATTGCACTTTAATAATAAAAACATTTCGGTACTGTCAATCCCCAAGTCTAGAGCGATGATCAGAAAGTATAAGCTTTGCCATACTAAATAAGCGTTCAGCACTAGCACTTGAGCGCAACGCAGTATTAAATTTAATAAACACACTTTTTATATGAAAAAAATTATCAAAAATATTTAAATGAGTATTTTTAGATTTAAAAAAAGCATCTAGAGGTTCAATATTATTATTATTTATTTCAAAAAAATCGTCTATGGAAGGTCGCGGTTTCGATCTTGCTATAGTATTAGTATCGTGGTTAGGTATGACATTTTTTAACCATTAGTCTACCAAGTTGCCCTTTAGATTCAGTCAAATTAATGTATGGCCAATTTAACTTGAAACTAGGATGAACGATAGCAGCTATTACATTATCATCATCATACAGATCTGGAAATGTAATTTATATAAAGCGATTGTATTTATTATAAAAAAAGAAGAATACCTTTTTAATTTTTCAAAATTTAAATTTATCTGAGATTTAGATTCATTTATAAAAAAATACTAAAATAGCAATAAATTATGGTAAATAAAGATTTTAAAAATATAATTATTATTCACAAGGTAATTAATAATATATTAATTTTGAATTTTTTATTAATACTATATATTAATATTATAGAAAGGATAATCTATATTTTTCTCATTTTCCAAAGAAATTTCGCTATCTTCAACAATCTCACACATTTTTAATAACAAAGATTTATAATGCTAACTAGATTTATAATGTATATTTTTAAATATAAATTTCAAAATAATTAAATAAAAGGATTATAATTTTAGATTTAATAAAAAATATATTTTAATAATTTTTAGATGTATTTATTATGTAAAATTTTCCAAATTAGTAGCGAGCTACCGCTATCGCTATTTTCTAAAAAAAATTAGCCATCTAAAGCTACCACTCGCGCTACTTGTAGCGGGCTATTTTAACAACACTGTATTTCAATTGCATCTTATGAAGATGTTTGTTATAAAGATGATAACGGTGGAGATTATAATTTATAATAATTTTATTCTAAAACTAAAATGATACTTAAAAATATTATAAAATAAGGTGTATATATATGTATTATAAAAAAACAATTTAAACGGTTAAAGGCTATAATAACAATTTAAGTTAAATAAAAAAACAATCGATCAACAATGTTGATGCTATTTCATTAGCATCCCATGAATTTTAAATGTAATTTATAATCACGCAGGTTTAAAGTGTATTTTGTGGTTATTTTTTAATTTTCCCTTTTTTCCCGGGGAAATTTACATCTTTACATGTGATTGTATAACATAATCGCCTTTATCTTTACAAAAAAGAAATTGAATAGTTGTTTTTTAAATGATTTGGGGATTTTAATATAAACCAGGGATGCCTTAATAATAAAAATCTTGAGAAACAATTACTTTTCCACGTCAAATCGATCACGATTCGGCCGACCCCTTTTAAAATTGTTAAAAATTTCTGGAATTATTTAGATAGGTAAAAGAGTAAGAAAGCCGTTTATTTTAGCTCGCTAGCACACTCGGTTCTCGAGATATAGGGGCTCAAAGGTATAAAAAAGAGCCACTTTGAAATCTGTAAAATTTTTAAAATGCTTATATCTCAAAAACTATTTTTAGTAAAAAAAATTATAATGTATCATTTTTGTAGGTAAAGAAATTCTCTAATGGGCTAACAAAAAATAACAAATATTGGCGCCATTATAGGCTTTTAACACGGTTTACCTAAATTGCCATACCTGTATTTTTAAGCAAAATAGTGAGTTTGTTTTAGAATTTTTTTATTGATTTTTATTTAGACACCTTTGATAAATATATAAACAATATCAAAACCTTGGCGATGCTATCGACTCCAAAAATTGATAAAAAATAGATGGCGCTTTATGAAATACGGATTATGGTTAAAATTTAGCTGCTAACTTATCAATAACCAGATATTTTCACTTTTTATACTAAAAGATTTTGATTTTCTATTAAATTTACTAATTAACTGAGGAGCAGAGTGGGCATATGCCCATAAGACACTTAATAATGTAACAAATTTCCAATAATAAATATTTTTCATATAATTTTTTTAATATTTAAGGTATCTACAATTTCATCGAATTTTTCACCATTTGATGAAGATAATGGTATAATTTTAGTCGAACTTTTTTTTTACTCTAGATATTTTTTTCTTCAAATATTTTTTTTCACATAAGCGTTTTCTTTTAATGAGAGATTCCCCATTTGATTGTAGGGATATATTTATGTTATCAATAGCCTCTTGATTAATTATATGAAGGGGAGAATCAATATCTACATTGTCATTTGAAGAACCATTTCATAACAGACCATCCCTTATACAAAAAAATACTCCATATAAACAATAAATTGATGCACTATTTTGATATTCTATTTATCTTTTAATTGAAAGAAATCTATTTTTTCACAATGTGATTTTCATTTATTTTTAAATTTCAATAAATTATTTATGCTACCTTACAGACATTTATAAGCGTAACGGGGGAGGGGCTCTCCCTCGGAAATTTGCCTGTTTTCGTAAATTTTAAGCTAATTTAATGTTAATTTCATAATGATAAATTGATATATTTAATCATATTTATATATTAAAATTAACCAATACCAAAAATTATTTCAAAAATTTGATACTAGATACTTTCAATATAAAAGTATTTTTATGCAGCTACAAAATGTATTGTATTTTCTGGATTTATATAAACTTAAATCTTAACATACATGTTGTTTATCAAATTCTCACTCATATAAACATACAAAAACCTTATATATTAATTAAAAAATTCTAAACTTTTACCAGGCTACAGATATCAATACGGATGCTGCCGCTAGTGGTGATTCAGAAAACCACCCTGAAATTGATATGCAAGAAGGAGAGGGAACAACAAAAATTAATGAAGAATATGAAGAAGAGGGTGATGAGGAAGAAACTGTTTTTGAGGCCTTTACATGTATCATTGATAAAAAAGATAGCCCCATCGACGAATTTCTTCTTTTCAAAAATTCATTACAAAGTAATTTATTATACTATTTTAAATATTTTGTTAGAATATGTGATTTAACAAATATGTTTTAATATCATTTTTATTTTATAATTATTTGTCACGATTTTATATAATACACATTTATTTTTATCAAATAGATATCCAAATTAATGATCCAAATTTCTATTCGCAAATTATTTCAAATTTAACGAATTCACAAATCAAACGATTAAATGATCTATTTCAAATAGCTGATAAGCGGAAGGCAACATTAGGTCATAAATAAAGGCATATATTCTTATTCCTTTAATAGTTATTAAAGATTATTTACATAAATTTTTTATGGTATGATATTTGTATTTTACCAGAATTGGCATTATTTTGAATAGTACAAAAAATGAATTTGAATTATGACAAATTGTGCGAGATTTTCATTTTTAATTATTCACATTTTGAGATGAATTGTTATAATTTTTGCGTGTATTTTTTTAAAAATAATTGAACATGTTAATAATCTACATAATTCACTCATAGAATTATCAGGTTATGTTAATTTTGAATATTAAAAAAAACTTATTTTTTTCGTGGCGAGCAAGTGGGCTAAGCATTTTTTTAAAATAAACACTACTATGGACAGACAGGTGGGTTAAACATTTTTAAAACATAGAACGGATTCAAACCTCTAGTGTATATAAGACAATATCGGTGTAAAATTTGGCAAAAAAACTTATTTTTAGTTTAACTGATAGACTTTGATTTCCATATTGAACCCAGATTTTATATAAATCAGAGACTTTCATTTAAATTTAGCTTTTAATGTTAACTTAAAAAAAATATTAAAATTTTTTCATCTATTAATAATAAATTTCAGTATTACAAACGCAATGATTACCTAATAAATAAATGATTGCCTATACAATAAATTGAATTTTTGGATTTGATTCAAACTTTGGAATTTTTTACTTGTTATGGGCTTGGTAATTTTTTACAATATTAAATATGGGCCGGGTATGGGCTTATAAAAATTTTTTAAAGTAGGGCTGGGCCTGTATGAAAATCTCTGATACAAATAAAGGCAACTATTTTTTTAAAAAAATAATAAAAATTAATGGTTCAAAATCTTATATTTTTTTTGTAAAATTATTTCTTAATTTGAACAAATATATCCAAAATTATTTCCTTATATTTTAAATTCCACTAAGTATCAATTAAATTAAACTATAGAATTTGGATACACAGGTGGTTGTCACAGTCTAACGCATATTTCCTAATGATTTACGGTGATTTGAGAATTAAATTTAATTATTATATATTTTTAGACACATGGTGTACTCTTTCAGTTACTAAACTTTTCAAAAACATAGAGCCTTTTACTTGTTAACTAGATTGGAAAGGACATTTTGTTTTTGGAAAAGAACACTATGTAGCCAAATAATCTATATTTCTTCTTTGAGCACTCTTAAGGCCAACATTTTGGCCGAATTATATAATTTATTATTTTAACAATTTTAAACCCCTTTTTGCATAAGTTAATTATAAAAAAAAATTATTTTTCTTTATGGTGTAATTTTAAATATCTTAGGAAGGGTTGGCAAATTTAAAAAAAATGTAATTAATGGTGAATTATCAACATAATATAAACACTATCAACCCGACCCCCTCAGATTTTTCAAAAATTTTTACAAGAGTTTGTATATATTATAACTAAGGGGGAAAATTTTTAGGGAGGGGGGGTAGCAGGTGGCTTTGGTTAATTTATTTGATGAATTAAATTTCTCTCCTCATAAAAATATCAATTTTTTATTATAATTTTATTGGAGACAAAATTAATTTTTATATATTGAATATTCACAATATGAATATAATTTAATTTTCCCTAAGAGGTAATCCATGAAGATCGAAGATAAATTTAGATTCAAAATATATCTCTCAATAAAGTTAAATTAAACATTTAATGAGTCAGACATAATTCAAACTATAATTTGGTCTTGTGCATACTCTTAACAATATTCCAACTAAAGATTATTCTTTTTCCATACTTTATAAATTGACTACACCTCTTAGTATAAAATTGAAATACTATTATAATTATGACTCCGATTTATTCATATTCAAGAGATTCTATTGAAAGATGATTCCATTCCATCAATATTCACTTTCTAAGCCACTTGATGTATTATTATAAAAATCTTAAAAAAAACTTTTATGACAAATTTTATTTTAATATATCAAAATATATAATTATCTGAAATAGTAACTTCATTATAGATAATATAACCTAAGTTGTCATATTTTGTTTTCAAGATATATATTTTGGAGATTTTTTTGAACCAAATTCTTATAAATAGATTATTAATGTTCAAATATTTAGACAATAACAAATTTTAATTCAAATATCATAAATTCACCATTAAAAAGTGATTTATTATATCCTCAATTATTCAATTAATCCTCTCCCAAAGCAAGATATAATCATAGAACAAATGGAGATTGATCTTTATAATAATATAATTATTGAACATGGTAATGGATACAACCATTTTCAAATTATTTTTAAACCTAAATATTCCACCAAATAATGTCCACTGCTTATATATATATATAATTGCCAAAGAAGCTTACCGCCAAGATTTCTCTGACTCAATCAATGATGAAAATACCTATCTCAATCTTATATAGTTTTAAGTTAATTTATCTACTTGATTTTATATTTAATTTTTTTTTAAATAAATTTTATTTTTACAACCATCTAACCCCAAATTTTAATACATATTTTTCAAAAATATAGATTTTAAGTTAGTTTGTATTATATTTTTTAAAATATAAATTTTTTTTTAAAAAAAAAATTATACAACATGAATTATTATATTCGTCAATTAGATATGGTTATAATGATTATATATAGTTATAATTAATATAATGTTTGGTGAAAGTTAACACTAGCTAACACTCATAGTATCTAATTATAGTTTTCCTGCCATGGAATAAATACGCAGAGGATTAAATACATTATTATATTATATATGTTATATTTTTTATTAATTTAAATATCAGTTTTATTTTTTTTTATAAATACATTTAATATAGTATATTCTCAAAATATTATTTACACAAATTTTTTATAGTATCAATTTGTAATATACTAAATATCTGTTTAGAATAAAAAAAATAAAATATATAGTAGTGTTGTTAAACGGCTAGTTTTCTTCTCCGTTTTATGGCGATTTCCAGGTTTACCCGGGTAGGCCAGTTTTCCCTCTGATTTTTCTTCTCCATTTTTGACGGTCCTGAGTATCAATATTTGTAAGATTCATGCTTCTCATAGTCATCTTGGGCCTTTCTCTTAGTCTTGATCCTCCTACTTCCATCAAAGTGCATCTCTTTACCCAGTCATCTTTTGTCATACGTTCCACATGCACAAACCATCTTATTCTATTTCGTCGCATTACCACTCCAATCATTTCTGTACCCAATCTTGCTCGCAATTCCTTGCTAGTTTTTATATTTCTCAGAGATACCCCACACACCCATCTAATCATCCTCATCTCTGTTCTTTTTAATTTGTCTTCGTGAGTCGCTTTCATTACCCATGTTTCGCCGCCATATGCTAAACAACTTCCTTACACAGCTTACGTAAACTTTCCCCTTTAACTTCAGTGAGACTTTTTTATTTGTAAGAATAAACGACATCTCTCTGAACTTCTTCCAAGCTTGTCTGCCCTTGCAACAACAACAGAATCTACACCACCATCTGCGTTTAGCATATCACCCAAATAACAAAACTTATCCACTTTTTCTAGGGTTACCCCATTGCCAATATTCAGACCACCATTTTCTACGTTATCATTATTATGTATCCCTTTCATGCATGTTCTACAAATAAAGGTCATTCTTTCTAACATCAAACTTCCTTTTTTCCCTCTACATCTATTATGGACCCATTTTTGGCATCTAGTGCATTGGATTGAATTTCTAGCAACTCCTTTCCCACATACATCACAAGTCCACTTACCGGATTCCTCCATCTTTATTTTTCCCACCAATCATCACCTTTGTCTTTGATGCATTCATTTTCAGACCCTTTGCTTCCATAGTCATCTTTCTAATACTAATTTTATCCCTCAATTATTCCTTACTGTTTGCCATTAATACAAGGTCATCTGCATATAATAGCTCCCAGGGAAGTCCTTCACGCATTTCTCTAGCCACCACATCCATTACTAAGATAAATAATAATGGACTCAGCACGGATCCTTGATGAAGTTCTACTTTCACCCAAAGCTTTCACTGTCACCATAATCTGTCCGTACTGCTGTTTGTGCTCCTACATATATTGCCATCACTGCGATAACCAACCATTCCTCCACACCTGATTTTCTCAAAGCCCATCTAGTAACCTCGCGCGGCACCCTGTCAAATGCTTTCTCTAAATCAACAAACGCATAATAGAGTTTCTTTTCCTTCGCAAGATACTTCTCCTATATTTGCCTCACAAGGAGCAAAGGTCTAGACATATAGTATCAAAATTTCGAGGCTTAGTCAAAATTTTTCTGGCGAAAATATTGAGTTAGCCGTTTTTAAAAATCGGCTCAAAACGAGCCGTTCATTAGCTAATATGCTTGCTTATTAAATTATAATACTCGCAGAAAAATATGATAAAATACCAAATAGATGAATTTTTTAGGTCGAATATAATTTTAAAATTCCGAGCCTGTGCAACGTTCTAAATGAATTCCGTTTTAAATAAATTCCAATTTAGTGATATTGACATTTATGACTGACATGTTAAGATTTAATATTATTTTTAGTGATATTGACATTTATGACTGACGCGCATATATTAAATATAATATTTTTAGTGATACTGACATTTATGATTGACGTGTAAAGATCAAATATTATACTTTCTATTGTTATAGATTTTTAAGTGAATCCCTGTTTTAAATAGATTTTAATTTAGTGATATTGACATTTATGACTGACATGTTAAGATCAAATATAATATTTTAGTGATATTGACATTTATGACTGACGTGTAAAGATTAAATATAATATTTTTAATAATACTGACATTTATGACTCATATGTAAAGATTAAATATAATATTTTTATTAATACAGACATTTATGATTGACGTGTAAAGATATAAATAAGATATACGATATAAATAAGACATGCGTTATTAAGATATGCAATATAAATAAGACATGCGTTATAAAGATATGCAATATAAACAAGACGTACGATATAAACAAGACATGCGATATAAATAAGACATACAATATAAATAAGACATGCGTTATAAAGATGTGCGATGTAAATAAGACATGCGTTATGAAGATATGCGATATAAAGATATGCGATATAAAGATATGCGATATAAAGATATGGGATATAAATAAGATATACGGTATAAATAAGATATGCGATATAAATAAGACATGCGTTATAAAGATGTGCGATGTAAATAAGACATGCGTTATAAAGATATGCGATATAAATAAGATATACGGTATAAATAAGATATGGGATATAAATAAGATATACGATATAAATAAGATATACAATATAAATAAGTAATTAAAATTTATTATGCGGTCAAAATGTTCGCGATAATTTCTTAAATATAGATTCAAATTAAATTTTTTAATGTAACTTAATTTTTTAATTGGTGTGTAATATGCCCATTTATAAATGGTATGGATAATTATATTTGTTTGAAGCATAGTTGTCAATGCAACTATCTCCACCTCTGTTCCATAAGTTGCATTTTGAGCCATGCGTGTTCTCTCCAAATATTTGTCAACGGGTTCTCCCAAAAACCCCTCCATCTGCTCAGCAATATCCTTGCTACTCATAAAGATAATGCATTGCTGTCTCAGAAAATCGTAGTGGCATTCGTCATCACAAACTTCTTTGCTTATACATCTACAATAATGATTAACAATAATTTATTTTAAATATGTATACCTGAAGAGACAATTTCCATCACCAATAATCCGCTCGGTAGAAAAATTATCTCCCATTACACCATTATCATATTTTGGATATCTTTTCTTGATCGCAAAATGAAAACGTTCAGAATGATAAATTTTCCATGTTGGTGGGAAGAAATAGATTTGCATCATCTTTCTTAGAAATTACAGTCTCTACTGTCAATTCATTATCTAAAAAATATGCATAATTAAATAATAACACATATTAATACCTTTCTCAATAAACAGTCCTACTTTGTCAATTACAGCTGAAATATTAGGATTAGAAGGCATAACTAATAATTTAAAAAATAAATTATATCGATTTATAAAAATATTACTATTTTCTCGATGGCTACCAAGCTCTACCATCTTCGTTTCATCATTTAATATCTTTATCCTCTTAAAATCTGCATCATCTAAAAAATACATATAATAATAAATATTTTATATTTTTGGTCTTCACAATTTTTATTCTTTTCCCCAATAATCGTGTTGAGTAATTTTGAGACTAAATATTTAAAAAAATTAATGTGAGCTTTATAAATAATACCGTTCAAGTGATTTTCTTGAGCATTTAACTCCTCTTTATAACTCACTACCTCACAGTTTTTATCATCTAAAAACGTGATATTTTAATTTAAATTTAAATTAACTCCCTTTAGTAATACTGACATTTATGATTGAAGTTATATTATATTTTAATAAAAAATATCATCATAAAATTTAGTAATACTGACATATATGACTGACTATAATTTTAAAAGTTTCTATTATTTGTAATACTGAAATTTATGCTCATGATTTTGTGCTTATAAAAGTATGTGAAAGTTAATATTAGTATCTTTGTTGTATTTATTACGGAATCATTTTGCAGAATCCCAACGTGGAGATTGGGGATTCTAAATATATATTTTTTTTAAACTATTAAATTATATTTTTTATTTTCTAATAATTATTAATTCATTATTATGTAAGCTACTGTACAAATTTATAATTATAGTTGCTTATTTGAAAAAATAAAATAATATAATTAGCAGTCTAGCTGGCACCTGAAAATTACGAGATATTTTATTTTCTTTATTTGTTATAATAAAATAACTGATATAAATTATCAATAAATTTATTTTTAATATGAATTAATAATCATATTGGGCGGATTTTTTCATAGAATTTCTAAATTATTATATTTTGAAATGAATTTTTTTTTTAAATTTTAGTTTAAATTTTTTTTTACCCATTTAAGAAAATTTAACTGCGCTAGTGCTCTGCCATCAAAAAAGCAAAGAATTCTCGAAATTTTAAGAAATTTATTCTACCAATTTGGGCCACCAAAAATTTTACAAAATGATAATGGTAGAGAACTCAAGAGTAATTTATTATTTATAAACTAATTAATTATTTTCTGGTAAGAACAGAGTTTTTATCCATTATGACTATTCATTCTAGGCCTAGGCACCTTGAGACAAATGGGCTCATCAAATGAGCAATTTCTACCTTGGAAACGATTTCTGCATATATGCTGGAAACTAACAAGACTGAGCCCGCCAGCTTCCCAAAATTGTTTCGAAAATTAATAACAATTATAGTAGAATCATTAAGAGCACACCTTACCAGGTATTTTATGCGAGTAAGGATAACCAGGAAAAAAATATCTAGTTCAAATGAAATGGATTTAACATCATGTTCTGATAATGGTATTGTTTTTTTATATTGATTAAAAAAATAATGTAATTTATTCTTAATTTTTTTTAAATTTAGATTTTTTTTGCAATTCTAATGAACCCTCAACAGTATTAAAGATAAATTTTAGTGCATAAATTTTAGTGCATAAATTTTAGTGCATAAATTGAATAATATTTAAAAATATAAGATATATGAATGATTGATACATCATATCAGTTGCCAGACAACACATCTTCCGATTCAGATAATACTTATTACGTTCCTTACCAGGATCGATCCTGGGACCTTCTGTTTCCAAGCCTACATCATAACCCACTAGGCCACCCCGTCGATAGGAACAAAAAGCTATACATGGTTTTTCTCGATCTAGAAAAGGCCTTTGATAGAATCCCAAGAAAACTTATCTGGTGGGCGCTACGCCACAAAAATGTTCCCGAAAAATATATAAGAATAATACAGGATATGTATATGGGCCATACAACAATGGTCCGTAGCACAACAGGTACTTCAGCAGGCTTCACAATAGCCGAAGGAGTTCATCAAGGGTCGGCTCTCAGCCCACTGCACAGTCTATACCTCAAACAGTCCCGTGGAATATGATATTTGCAGATGATATTGTGATACTTGCCGAATCTAAGGATGAAATGAAAGAAAGACTAGTGAGTTGGATAAATATCCTAGAAACGCACGGATTAAAAGTAAATAGAGAAAAGACGGAGTATATGGTGATAGGAGGAGATGAAATAAATGAATGGCAGATATCGGCAATTGAAAGCTGTAAATATTTGGGCTCCACTATACAAACAAACGGCACAATAGAAAAAGAGATAAAGAGTAAGATTAATCAAGGGTGGCTAAAGTGGAGATCTTTATCTGGAGTGCTATTTGATAAAAGAATCCCACACAAATTAAAGGGAAAAATT